TTATTTCGTGACTCTTGTTATTCTGATGGGTTGCTTTCCCTTTGGAACCGTAACTCAATTCGTGCAACATAGCTAACCAGTAGCTGATAAAAACAGAGATTTAGAAAGTTGGAAATATGAGAAAATGTGGATTATGTGAGGAAGATTTATAACGGATTTGTAAATACTTTGATCGATACACAATTAATGTTAATGTGGGAAATCCTATTTTTAATAAGATGATTGCTACTTCCTAGTATATGATTGTATTTTGATAAGATTATTATGAATGTGATGATTATTTTATTCTAATACTTGTATACCTAGACAACACACTGTTCAATACAGAAATTGAATTTTGGAAATAATAATAATAATAATAATAATAATAATAATAGTAGTAGTAGTAGTAGTAGTAGTAGTAGTAGTAATAATAATAATAATAATAATAATAATAATAATAATAATAATAATAATAATCTGCAAGAAATATCATTTGCCTGTAAGCAAGAACTGGTGGGATAATAAAATAGAGAAAGTCATAGAAAATGATAAAGTTAAACTGCTCTGGGATTTCAGAATTCAAACAGACAAGCACCTGCAACATAACACCCCGGACTTAACAATTGTCGATAAGAAAGACAAAAAAGTCTGGATAGTGGATGTGGCAGTGCCTGGAGACAACAGAATAGATGAGAAAGAACTGGAGAAGATAACAAAATACAAAGACCTACAAATAGAAATAGAAAGACTATGGTAATGCAAGCAAGGGTAGTACCAATAGTAATAGGCTCCTTGGCTGCAATCCCAAAACAACTTGAGCACCACTTGAACACCATTGGCATTGACAAATTCACCATTAGTCAATTGCAAAAGGCCTTACTAGGAACTGCTTCCATCCTGCGACGAGATCTGTAATACCATCAAACATCCACATCTGCCTATCCCAGGTCCTGGGAAAGGACTCGATAGGTAGACAAAAATGCCAAATCCAGTCTGAACATCTGGCTGACTGTGCGATGATCATCATCATAATAATAATAATAAAGTTGGAAGGGACCTTGGAGGTCATCTAGTCCAACACCCTGCTCAGAGAGCTAACCAGAGAGGAACTAGACATATTTGCATTAGATGTGAAGATTGAATAATTTTTAGTGTGTTAATCTGTTTTGCAAATCTGATGCCTCTGGTGAGTTTCCGGTTTGACAAATTGTACAAAACTAGAAGTTCAAGGTTGATTCAAGTATCAGGTTAAGTGGGTGGCGTGAACACACATTCCCAGGACAACAAGGACATCCCAGCTACATAGAGACTCCTGTTTTTTCAGGGCTGTGAACTACTATATTTTATACAAATAAAACGTAATAGGCTAGGTCAGTGATGGCGAACCTATGGCATGCGTGCCCGAGGCGGCACTCAGAGCCCTCTCTGTGGGCACACCTGCCGCCACTGCTGCCAGTTCACGCAGGTCCATTAGGCCACCGCTGGTGCCCGGAGTAGCAGCCCCACCCAGCACAAAGGAGGTGAAGCAGCTAGCTAGCAAGCTTGAGTAGGGGTGGTAGACCATGCACTTGCTGGCCTCCGTGCGCAGAGGCTGATGGTGTCAGGCAGCAGCTACCCCTGCCTCACCTTACCCCGCAGCAATGGCACCCCTGCCCTACCCCCTGCCTCACCCCACAGGACGAGCCCCCTGCCCTCCACCCCACTCACCAGAGACCCCCTGGATCTCCCCCAATCCTGCCCAGCCCTCACAGGCGTCCCCCCCGTGAGCAACATCAAGGTGGCCATGCCCACCCTCGCCATGCCCACTCAGTCTGCCCACCCACCCCCGAGGGCATCAATGCTGATGCGGCCCTGGCACTTTGCAATAAATAAGTGGGTTTTGGGTTGTGGTTTGGGCACTCGGTCTGTAAAAGGTTCGCCATCACTGGGCTAGATTTCCTCCCTGAGCAGGGGTTGGACTAGATGATCTCCAAGGTCCCTTCCATCATCATCATCATCATCATCATCATCATCATCATCATCATCATCATCATTATTATTATTATTATTATTATTACTATTATTATTATCCCAAAGATGCTTTTTCCATGACGCAACTGGACTTTCTTGTTTTTCTTTGAAGATGTTTCGCTTCTCATCCCAGAAGCTTCTTCAGGCTCTGACTGGATGGTGGGGAATGGAAAGATTTTGGACAGAGAGGGCCATGGGTTTGAAAGAAGGGTCAAAGAGGCCATCTAGGTCAAAACTGAACAGCCCTCTCTCAACAGAGGACACGACATCATCTATCTCCAGTCTACCACACAGTCCTTTCAGCAGTTCCAAGAAGGCTCCACACCCATTTGCACCACTCAGGTGACCCTGAGGACGCAGATGAACCTCCAAGTGGTCTCAACGACTCTCTAAAAGGATGCAAATGACCAGCTGTCTGCAAGGAGTATAAATCCTTCCATTCCCCACCATCCAGTTTAATGAAGAGAAGGACGAGGGGGGACATGATAGCAGTGTTCCAGTATCTCAGGGGCTGCCACAAAGAAGAGGGAGTCAAGCTATTCTCCAAAGCTCCTGAAGGCAGGACAAGAAGCAACGGATGGAAACTAACCAAAGAGAGAAGCAACCTAGAACTAAGGAGAAACTTCCTGACAGTTAGAACAATTAGCCAGTGGAACAACCTGCCTCCAGAAGCTCTGAATACTCCAAAGCTGGAAGTTTTTAAGAAGAGACTGGACAGCCGTTTGTCCGAAATGGTATAGGGCAGTGGTGGTGAACCTATGGCACGGGTGCCAGAGGTGGCACTCGGAGCCCTCTCTGTGGGCACGCGTGCCGTCGCCCCAGTCCTAGGCCTTCAGCTGGGTTTTATAAAAACTTTTAGCTTTAGGCCTCCGCTGCTGTGTGCAAAAAAAAAAAAAGGTTCAATCAATCAGTCAATTTCAACTTGCGGGGGAAAAAAAAGATCTTGCAAAGTTGGAATTGATTGAACTTTTTAATCCCATCCAGTCTGCCGTTACCACCGCAGCCACGCCCACCCAATGGGCCACACCCACTCGGCACTCGACGATGCATAAGTGGGTTTTGGGTTGCAGTTTGGGCACTCGGTCTCTAAAAGGTTCGCCATCACTGGTATAGGGTTACCTGCCTGAGCAGGGGGTTGAACTTGATGACCTCCAAGGTCCCTTCCAACTTTATTATTATTATTATTAGAAGCGAAACGTCTTCAAAGGAAAAACAAGAAAGTCCAGTTGCCTCCTGAAAAAGCATCTTTGGGATAACCAGGACCCGGATGGCTGAGAATTTCCAAAGATTCTCCTTCCGCTTTCCTTTGCTTTACAGGCACGTGAACGTCACTAAAGTTGATGAGGTTGCAAAGTAAGTCAAGTGTCTTTGTAACTGAACGTTCGCTAAATGGATGGTTGTTAAGTCAAGGTCTACCTGTAGGTGAAATGGGTTGTGCGCAACCCATTCCACAGATTTGGGAGAAACCTAGCTTGGCAGGGACCCAGCTAAAAGCATTGCCAGCAGATGCCAAACTATCTCCTGTTTGAAGACCTTTCTCAAAAGTTCTGCATATCTGCAGCGGAAGGAGGAAGGCAGGGAGACGATGATAATGACAATGTCATTATGCAAATGTTGTAATTCAAGCGAACTGTGAGCGTGTAAGTCACCTTCGTTCACAGCTGTTG